TCTATCTATCTATCTATCTATCTATCTATCTATCTATCTATCTATCTTACTAGCTAGACAAGCAAAACCCCGTAAATCCTTAATTGAAAAGATTAAGTTGAAACATGTTTCAGATATCTTTTTCCTTAGACTAATTACTGTTTTTATTTCTGACATTTATATCACAGTCCTAAAAGAGGGTTATTCCACAAATGCTGAATGTTTAGTTATATTCTTTTTGCCACTACTCCAACTCGCATATAGGGCATTGTTTTGCCAGATCCCCTCGGGGTCTTGGGAGGTTGTTTGGAATGGAGGACAATGCTAATTCTTCTCTTTGTCAAACATGTAAAAATGTCCAAATGAGTGATCAGTATTTTGAAGTTAAATATAACTTGGTCATTAAATAAGACAGCTGACCTAAGTGACATGCAAAATGCAAAAATAAATAGAGTTGAGTTGCTCTACTATGCTTCTGCGGTTTAGCATAACAGTACATGCATTCTTTGAACATCGATCATAAACTTGGAAAACTCTGGAAAACATACCATGGCTATTTAATTTAAGGTACAGTTAAAAGGTGCATGTCTCTTTTCAAGATTACCCAAGGTTTACAATAGCACACCCCAATCTTAGGCCCAGGATTTGAAAAATTGTAATCACATTAATGTATCCAATACATTTAAAACATTGTGTTTCCTGTTAAAGACACTGATGAAGGGTCAACAAAAGACGAGAACAAAGAATATTTTGGACTGACAGCTTCATGATTGCTTGTCAGATAGAGTATAGAGAAATACATTACTGGTCTTCCAATGTCCTTTCATCATTTTGACATGTGAAACCACTTTGGTGACAGATGTAAGGCAGAAATATTCTGCCTGAGGCGTTATCTGTTGGACTAACCCAACAAACACCATGGGAACGATGGTTTAAGCACCTTTTTTCGATTATATCATTCTTATTAGAAGCAAAATTTTTGTTGCAGCTGTTTTTATAGTGAGTGACCTCCAGTTTCATTTTAGAATTTTCATCCTATCTGTCCAAGGATGTTTGCAGTTGCATGTTGTGTTTTTTATGCCTAATGAAGTGTTATTTTAAATGTTCAAAGATTTTTTTCACTGTATTTCGTTATATTGAAATTTTGTTGAGACAAAAAGGGAAAATCATATTTTCTGAGCACTACACAGATCAATTGTATAAACCGTAGTAGATAATTACTAAATTAATTACAATATTGCAGTCAAACACAAAAAAATAAAAATAAAAATACTGAAAATGTGTGTTTTGAGAAAGGTCATCAGTGATAATGATGAGGATGAAAGGCAGAGATAGTTTAGGCGGTGTCGCCTGGTAGAGCAGATTACCTCATAGGACGTTATCCTGGGTTTATTTTTAGCTCTTTTTTGTCAATGAAGACAGCTTTTAGCAGTGGGCAGTTTTGTTACAACTTTCTGTTTTAAGGAAAACAGAAAGATAACTTTTGGTAAGGCTCTGTAGGAGATCTGGGCTGTTTTTTTTCCACTCATCTTTTCACTTCGTATTAGACACTAACAAAGTCACACTGAGCTCAATCCTTGTTATTCACCATATATCTCTGAAATGCACCACACGTACAGGCCTGTGTTCATTTGTGCTGAATCCAATAGAAAATATTCTCTAATTCATCTGTATATTCCAACAAAGCATATTTCTATATATTTGTAGCCATTATTTTTTCAACGCCATTGCCCATGCATCCTCACAAATGTCGGCTTTTGAAATTAGCTTTATCTGTTTTATTTTTGAGGGGAGTTGCATGGTTTGTAATTTGGGGCCTCTATGTGTGGAGTTTGCCTGTTCTTCCTGTGTATTTGTGGGTTCTATTCATTGTCCAAAAACATGCATGCTTGATCAATTAAAGGCTAAACTGACCTTACGAGTGAGTGTAAGAGTGGATTTTTGTGTGTGTGGGGCACTGTGATGGACTGTAGGGGTGTCCATATCAGTCCAGGCATCAGTAGTGTCAGAATTAAGGTGAACATCGTCTTCTTATCAATAGCGCGATAAGATCGATACTTTTGTTGCAGCGCGTTTCCTTTCGTATGGCCATATTACTCGAATTTCCTGTCTGCTGCCTCATCAGGCATACTTCCACTTCTCCCCCCCCTGTCACAAAACAAAGTGCATAAACTAAGCATAACAAAAGGATTAGACCGAACATTAAATCACATCTGTGAAAACAACGCACATAACTAGCGTTGAATTAACTAGCAGCTGTGTACATACACCGGGATGGAGAAAACAGTTGGTGACATAAAGCATGCAGGGAAATATAACAAGGCAAGACCCTTATAGTTTGAATAATTCCCACCTGGCTTCAGCTGTTTGGGAGTCATTGAGAGTAATCACTTATTAATCAGGCCGCACATCCCAATCTTAAAGTGGCTCTCAGGAGGTCTTTTGAGACATTGATATGAGGGCAAAGAGAAAATCCAATGAACAGCGGCTTATTAGTCTTTTTGTTCTTTGATTTGGTAATTCTCTACATTCTTTTTCGCTGTTTATAGTTTGGTATTGTGCGGCATCCCGTCGCTAGCTTTAATTTCAACCTTGGGAGGAAAAAAAAAAGTGTGATTAACAAGCAACAGGCCTCTCAGAAGTGGAACCGTGGGTAGAACATGCAAACTCAACAGGATGGCCCCCTTTCTGCTGCGAGACGTCTTTGCTAATGGGATTCCGCTGTATAACTGCACGACGACAATAAAGGCTCCTTCTACCTCTGCACACCCCGTGAATGTTATTGCAGTGGTTTTGAAAAAGGTTTGAAGCTGGTCCTAGTTTTTTCGCTTTCTGAGCCAGGGAAGATTGTGCCTTTCATAAGCGACTGCTCTGCTCATTAATCTTTGGTATGGATGAAAAGCACGGAAAAAAAATGGCCTCATGGGCAAAGATAACAACCCCAGCAGCTTAGTATTAAACTCATAGGAGAGGAAATATTTCAGTTATAGCATGAAGAAGGTAAGTAACGAACAGTGAGCTTTGGCTGTTCCACATGGCATTTTGCCTGATTTTGAAGTTAAAATGCTTCTGTGATGCTACGGGCAATGTCGTATTCACTTTGTAAACTGTCGCTCTCTCCGCAGTTGTTTGAGATCACGGTGCCGATCACCCAAGGCACCAAACCCGTCACCATCAGCGTGGCCAACCACACCCAGTGCAGCTGTCTCTCCAAGCTAGACATCTACAAACAAGTTCATAGCATCATTAGAAGAGCTCTGCCTGAGTAAGTGCTACGTTACTTTGAAACACACGAAGCATCGTCATGATTCCAGGTGTTAAACAGACAAATCCTGGAGATCTTTCTAAATCTTAGCTGTAGCTTCAGCTTGTTAACTTTGATGGTTCATACCAATTTGAACCCATCATTAAATCATCTTTGACCTGATCTTGAACAGTTATGCTGTGCTAAGTTGCTTCTTAGTTCCTCTGTCTCAGGTTAGGACAGAAACAGCTTTTTAATGTGTCGTCAAATGTTAAATGCATGTAATGTTTAAAGCTTTTGTTACTATGTTAACCACCTACAAAGTCTGTACTCTAAGGGGGTGTTATATATATATTTAACTAAATATGTTTCACATTTTAACTTGATCAACTCCACAGCCTCATGACGTGTGTGTGTGTGTTCCTGTGTGTGTGTGTACCTACACAGGGCAGCTTGTGATTTATGACCAACGAACGGTCAGAATCCCTCGAGGAAGTGGCTCACGATGTGTTTTTTGGCTTCTGTCCTCTGAAAATAGAACAATACCTGCGTCTAATTGTGTCCAAAAACAGAGCAGAACAGCTCAGGGATTTTGTTAAAAAAACAAATGTGCGGATCTATTGTAAATGAGATTAATCCTATGTGTGTATGCAATGTGTGTTTGGGTGACCCTCTTTATTGGACGTCTTCCTGGTTGAAAGTAATTGATTTTAACTTAGGTAAGATAATTCAAACAAGTTCACGTCATTCCAACAATTTAAGGCAGTCCCTATTTCTTATTTGAAAAAGGGGATTAGATTTAGTTTGAGATTAATAGTACGCTGCTTATTATTTATCACAGGAAATCTATCATCCTAATGTTAAGGGCTTATTTCTTTGCAAATGGCTGATCCACAGGATTACAAGAACTATTAAATGTTTGTCTTTGACATATGGTAGAATGGCAGTTGCAACAATGCATTATCCAAAACAAATGTGTTTCAATCTGTAACTCCTCACATAACCAGCGACAGGTAAAATATGTAAACACTGTACAGACAAACGAGTAAAAGAATTAGCCAATGACTGATTTCCTTCGGCACAATGGACAAATATAACACAGCCTGATTGCAGCTATTAATTAATTGATATGATTCAATAATGAATTTAGGAAGAGTTGTGCTAACTGTCACATATGAATATATACGGTATGTAAAATAGGAATGATTAACAGCACTATGAGGTAATGTTTGAGCTCATTCTTAGTGCTATGTTTAATTCATTATTGTAATCTATCAGTTTTATTTAAATGGCATCAAGACCTAAATTCTATTAAGATCACACATATAACGTCATCGTGACTGATGATGTATACTTAGACACTTTTTTTGTAATTTCTTAATATTTGAACTTAGACTATGCTTAAAGAAATAGAATAAAAGGTGGGAAAAAAATACCATAGGTGGCGGACAATTTTGAAAATAGTCTGGGGTTCAATTAAGCCTGGAGAATGTAAATGTCTACTGTTTTTTAGTAAAACAGCCTCACATCAAACAGAAGAACGTAGGAATAACCACAGCTTTGACCTGTTTGAACAAGAGAGCGCTGAACAATGGATTCTGTCAGCGTTTGGTTCACAAAAACAGTTTGATCCTGAAAAACGGGGAAAGCCTAATTTAGTCTGTTACTTACACTGCTTTCCCTCATCCAGCTAACCAAATTACAATTGACTATGCAGACTTTTAACAGCGTTTCCTTGTATGTTGGACCCCATTCGAACCAGACTGTTAATGTATTTAAGTTTTCGATTTAAACTTCAAATTAACTTTGATGCAGGCTTATTATTTATCTTCAATGCATATCGTTACGACATTTTTCAGCTTTTGCAATTACAGCACTTTATCATGGTCTGCATGGTGGTGTGCACGCTGACATCTCAAAACATCTGTACACTGGAGCAAAGGGCATGGTACAAATAGAAATTTTTACACCTACAAATCATTCAGCTTGTAAGGGCTAAAACATATGCACACGTATGTTTCGCATTAGGTGAAAGAACCCTTCCCCCCCCCGTTCGTCAACCCCTCCGTTAACGCTCCCTCTTCTCTTTTTCCCTAACTCTGTATGTTTCTGCCACTGCAGCTCTAATTGAAACCACACTGTGTCTCTTTTTATCGCCAGGCTCTTTCACAACTTCAAACAATTTGTCTGTCTGCAAACACATTGCCTGCCGACCGTCTCTAGGCTCAAGTCAACAGTTCCCTACGTGTAGCCACGCAAAGCATTCTCACTTTTTTGTGGCTCGTTTAATTGACCGCGTATGCTTCCATGTTCTGTGTGTAATGAATTTTTTCAAGAAGTTTATTTTGGTTGTCAGTTGTTTTTTTTCCTATTCAAACAAGGTATCGATTTCTGTTTTGAATTCAGCAACAGGTTTGAGTTTGTTTTCAGTTACATGGGGTGTAACTGAAACTGAGCTGATAACTGACAGCTCCGCCTACGTTTAGAAACTCTAGGAACTACAAGAAGAGTAGATGTGCAGTCTTAGAGCACCCTGCTGGGAAAATATTTAATTACGAGGCTTTTAAAATATGATGGGGCTTGGTCATCAAGAGCTTCATGTGTGAGGAACATAACATTAAAAAGGGAGCCAATGAAGAGAATCTAAAAGTGATGATTTCTCCTTCTCCATCACTTTGGCACATTAAGTCCCTAATTTTGGATTGCGCAAAGCTGAAAGAAGACAGTCCTAGAAACTTCTTTCATATACGAGTCAAATGAAATGATTCTTGTCAAAAGTAGCTCCAGGTCAAGAAGACCAATCACCTCAAGTCAAGCTCTTAGTACATATTTATATCATTTTCTCCTTGAGCTTACTTCAGTTTTCAGTCATTCGGTGGTGTGAGTCAAAATGGAGGTAATGGTTGATGTGTTTGGGTTTCCTGTAGACTCCTATGTTGAGTTGTCCAGTACCTCTATTTTGACTCACACCATTTACTGGAACACAAACTAGGCGTCATCAGAAATCCTCGAGACACTAGCAGAAACCATTCCCACCACCAACAGAGGAAAGATGAGAGAACAGGGACATATCAGGACATCCCTGAAGACCTGTTGTTAACCAAGATGGGCTTTTTTTTAAAAAAACAACACAAAGAGGCCTGCTGAGAGGGAAGCAAACAGAAGAAGGAACGTCGTCATTCCATATGTTGCTGGGGTCTGAGGAGGATTTTCAACCATCATCTGATCCCTGGGAACTTCAAACCTGGCATCACCCTGAGACAAAAACAGGTTCACCCCAAAGACAAGACACCCAGAAACAAGACGGACAAGTGTAGACTAAAGGACACTCGTTTGAGGACAACACCGTCCACGTTTTGGCCAAGGAAGATAGATGGTTTGATAGAGGGGTTAAGGAATCAATCTTTGTTCTCCTGGAAAAACCATCACTCAACAGACGAGGTGGTCTTAGACAGAACCTTCACCTACTTACAGAGCACTTTTAGGAACCATACCCAGATATTTCACCTCCCACTTGTCCTCACCTGACTCACACTTCAAAGAAGCAAGTGACCACTCTGGGAGTTAATGACCCATCAGAACCCCCTAAGGACCATTAACACCCCCCAGGTGACCTCTATGGCCTCCCCAGTATGAAAGACCGGAGCCACCTTTTGTTTTTTTCCCATAATTCTGCTCCCCGCCATCATTTAGAGCTGAAGAAGCTTCTTAGGTGAGAGGCAAAATGTCTCCTAGAAAATTTCACGTCCAGTTGCCTAAACTGAACTTTTCAAGTTTGAGAATGTAGTCCGGTAGTTATTTACAAGACCAAACAAAAGACTAGTCCCCTTAGCCCTTAAAGAGCAATTTAAGAAGAACACGCTCGCTTATCTTGACCTGAAGTTCTAAAAGCTAAATTTCCACTGTGGTATTTAACTGACGTCTTCCAACATGATTTCAATTACTTCCATAGAACTGAGTTATGCTACCACCAGTCACACAGTACAACTCCACCTGGTTCTGCCCTTCTGGTCACCTTTCTGTGGGAAGTTTGTATGTTCTCCCCGTGTAGGTGTGGGTTCTCTCCGGGCACTTTGGCTTCATCCCACCGATCCAAAAACATGTATGATAGATTGAGTGGTGATTCTAGATTGCGTGTATGAGTGAATGCAAGTGGGCAGTTGTTTGTCTCTGTGTGGTGCACCCCGAGTCTCTCTAAATGATGGTTATCATGATCCTACTAAGAAAAAGGTGTTTGGCAAATACATATATGGGTGGATGGTTCTGTCCTTCTACACGGTGTCTTCGAAGCATGTATGTTGAGTGATGTGAGCAGTATTTTAAAGAGAGGCAGTAGTGGGTTTTGTCTGCTGTTACATTTAATTAACAGTATTTAGCTGTAGGTTATGTTCTTGCATTGAAATGAGAGGCTTCTATGAGACAAAGGAGTTGTTAGCCCAGGCTCTAAATCACTTATGTTTATGTTAGATTATTTAGTGACCTTATCTACCTAATATTGTTTTAATCATTACTATTACAAAAATAACATTTCATATAATTTCCTGTTCAGTGTAAATCGACTTTTCTACTTAGGGGCAACTAGTTAATCATCACTTTTTCATTGCTTTCATTCATAAAATGTCTTATCTATTGGCTCTATTTTTTGTTCCATGAACGTGTGCCACAGAGCAACACAAAAAGCGTGGACCTACATTCCTACACAAGAACTATTCACTATCAATTTGATTTTAAAAAATCATTTGGAACCACTGCTGCTTTTCTCTCTTAGTGCCTTTGAAGATATGTCTTAAAAGTGGTCCTGACCCCAATAAAAAAGATGACACTAAAGAGAAACGAAAGAATGAAAAATGATTAAAGATGGAAAGGAGAAAAGAAAACAGGAACCAAAGAAAAACTAAAGAAAATAAATATGAAGGTCTTCCAGGCTTAACATAGCAAACAAGTGTGCTGATAGAACCACTGAAAAAACATTAACTCCTTTCAACCTATCAGAAGTTAACTTAAGAGATCAGTCTTTGACGGGGATATTTATTTGCCTACATCTGGTTCTTTCCAGTTCCTTGATTAACAGACGTTATCTAAACCATTTTTTCTCTGTTTACCATATTGCATTATTATTAGATTATATATTATTAAACTTTTACAATAACTGTAAAAAAAAAAGTCATCCTGTCTCCAGTATATTTATCCATTTTGTATTGAATTGAGACACAGTGAGAACATTGTTAACATTTAACACTTTTGTCAACGCAAGCGTACCACAAAGATCAAGTTCAACAGCTACTTCCACTCAATTTTCAGCAGGATGTGGCTTTGTTGAAATGTATTCCACAGATTTGTGCTCCCATGCATATTCAAATGCATACACAAATTAAAGTTGCGCCCACTAAAGCACAATTGAGATTTTTGGAGTTTGTGCACTCACCGAATGAAAACCTTAGATCTTACTTTGCACAAACAGCAAATCTGCCTCACAAACGATCACAAAAACTCATCCATAACTGGCAGTTCATTCACCAGTGTGCACGTTTCCCTGATCTGCAGTTCAGCTCCAAACTGTTGATTGATTGCATCTTGAAACACAGAGCCACGGATAAGAATGTTGAAGTACCTAGCTCTCATTTGACGAGGGTAAACACTGATATCGCCCAGATAAATAAGAATAATCAGTATGAATAACATCTCCTCTTTAAGACATTTCTGTAAATGCTAGAATGCTAGATTAAAAACAAATTGGGAAACAACAGCCCCAACTTCTACATTTAATGATGTTTGACAAAAGCTAACAAATAAACCATTTACATGCTGATGGAGATGAACAGCAAAGATTTAAATCAAATCATCTCTTAGTTAAGTCTGATACTCATCTTTCTGCTTATTTTTGCTTTTTAGATGGTTGACAGGTTGTCAGGCACACGAAAAAGAAAAGCAGAGAAAAAATATTTGCATTTTTGTAGCATCCCGTAAAACAATCCCGTAAAACAAAAACAGACGGGCTTTAATGGGACTCGTGTTGAACACATTAAATCATATTTGAACAGAAACTCCACTTTCTGCTTCAGCGTGCACCACGTTGTCAGAAAAAGATTCATTTTAGGATTGTAAACCAAAATGATGTAGTGCTTATGTTTGTTTATGGCCCAGTGGCACAATTGGTTAAAATATCACATTAAAGGCTCAAAGATGTACAATTACTGAAGTTCTTTCTCACTTTACCACTGACTTGGCAGATAATGCTAATGCCCAGGCTTTTCTGCTTCACGACTACTTAACAGTTGTTCTCCAAATTATTAGCAGTCATTGTTTACTCTAAAATTTCATGGTTAGAGTATGGAACCAATATATTGCCACTCCATAATGCAATGCTACACTAAAGAAAACAGCTGCTAAACCAAACACAGTAGTCACCCAATTATTTCCAGAGATTGTGAAATTACTACTTTTTCTTTTTTTTTTCTTATTTTGCTGTTAGTGGGAAAACATGAAGACCTCTTGTTAGACCAGAGCACCTAAACAAAAACAGCTGATTTCCTCCACACAAATGAGCCAAACTGAAGTAAATCAATCAGGCACTTTAAAAACACTAATATTCCTCTCTTTTCTTAAAAAAAAAGATTTTTTACAGCTGGTTTTGCCCACAAGACTGCTACATTTTTTAATTGATACATTCAGCATCACTGATTTAATCATGAAAAGATGATTTCATAGGCAAATAGGATGTAATGGAACCTTAATGTTTATCAATGTTTTAAACAAAAAGCTGTTCTGATATGATATTTCGTGTCCCCCTTCTGAAGGTGTCCAATAGCTAACAGGACATGTCCGCCCGGGCAGACCTGGAGTGTCAGGCATTGTCGATGTGTCAGTGCGGCTGCAGGTGTGCAACACAACCCCCTTCCTCCATCACGGCCTCCTCCCAGGCTCTTCCAGCAACACCACGGTGAGTCTTCACACATATTTAAAGCAGGTCACTTTGTTTTCTTTTTATACCCGTTTATAGAACATTTAAAGGATTCTATATTTGGTCATTTTTCCCAAAATACTCTTAAAGAATAAGTAAGGAAGAAAGACGATTGCAGCTGAAGATAGATAAATGAATAAACACGACAAGGGGTAAAAGGGGTAAAAAAACAACAAAAAAAAACAAAAAAAGATAGACAAATGAAAGGACCAATTGGGTTCAAATCCTCAACCCCAGACAACATGAAAATGGGTATCGGAACAATTTGGAACAATGCGTTTCTTTAATTTGTTCACGTTTTAAACATTTAGAAGTACCCAAAAATCATATTAACCTCTAAAGTCTTAAACAAAAAAAGAAACTAAATGAAACGTATTTTTTCGTAACAATAATAATGTTTTTCGAACACATGCTCCATATTTTTGTCAAGTTTTGGACCGTGAGAACCTGCCAGGACAATCCCCACACACACACACTCCATCAATGGATTTCTAATGGCAGAGCAGCAGATGGATACAGCACGTCAGCAAAAAAAAGAGTTTTAATCAACCAGCATTAGCTTTTAAAAAGATATTATCTGTTCCGATCACAAAATACGGTTAAAAAAAAGTGTTTTCACAACCATCATAAACTGACTTCCGAATGTGAAAATATGTTGTCCGACTCAAGATGCAAAAAAACTGCCAACATATTCTTGGAATTTTAGGAGGATGTCCTCGTGATTGTATAAACTGTACAGAGTAAGCATTGCGATGTGTTTTTGTTTAGTTTTTGTTCAGATATGCGATGAAGCCCCCGGGCTATCCGTACATCTGTCTATAAATGGACACTTCCTTTAATTAGATTTGTAAATGCACACCAGGAACTTTCTGACGTATTTAGACCAACAAAATAGAAGAGATACAGATACATGTTTTTAACTGCTTTTTCTGCAATCTCTGTATTTTAGAATGACATTATTCCAGATTGTTTGGTAAATTTTCCCTCAGAATGCATTTGGAAGGAAATGTTTAAATCAAACAGTCAGATTTACAATTGCTTCATGTATCTTATTCTTTCTGGCTAAGTCCTTGAACTTTCCACCTGCCTCAGCTGCTTTACAGGGTATATGGCGTTGAATTTGTACATCAAAGAAAGAAAGGCAATAGTTTTAGGCATGCAAAGGTTCCAAACTGGAAGGAATTAGATTGCAAACATTTGCAAACGTTTATCATCCATCCATTTTCTCACATTTGGTGGTGCCGGCAACCAGTTCATCTTTTTACATCTGTGACCTCATTCATTTGATCCCTACCCAGATGTTGCGGTGATACCATTGTCACTGTGGCCATTTGAGCAAAGATTGACGGGTAATGCGAAAACCCCTCGTGTTCTTGCCCAGCTTTCTCTTTTCCATTACGGACTGGAGCGACACTTTCATTACAGCTGACGAAGCCCCAACCTGGTTCATCTATCTCTCACTCCAACCTGCCATCGCTCGTAAACAAGATATCTATATTGTGTTCCTTAGTAGGCAGTTCCAGAAGGCACTGCTGGCATCAGTGGGTCCTCTGGTCAATACTTTGATAGCTACTGACCTCAGGCCACAGCTCTTGGAATCTGAATTTGCAATGGAGGTCCAGAACATGGCTCATTTAGATCCCATGTACCTGGAATGTAAGAAAAATGACTTTGCGGGTGTAAGTTGAAGCCCTTGCGCACAGAGGCCTCTGCCTCCTCAGGCTTTCCCGTTCACCCTCACTGACATTCCCATTTGGTAATCCCAGAAACATGCTTACAAGATCCATCTGGCAATCTTTCCTTCAAACAAATCAGCTGACAGCTTTGTTTCTTTTTTCATCCGATCGTCCAAGTCATCTGGCGTTAGATCTGATGAGATGACTACAAATGGGATTTGAGACCTTTGGCACCTTTGGCATAAGGTAGCCTAAGGTTAGCAGGTATCCTCAGGCTTTCTTACTTACGGATTTACTCTCAAAATGAGAATTCAGTGACTAGCACTGAAGTTAGAAGATGTTAGAGACTCAACTCTACCATCACAACTACATAAAGCATGTAAATCCTGTTTTTCCCCCACATCATGTTAGAGGAGTCATGCATACATTTTTGAACATGGGAAAATGTGAGCAAATGTTGTACTTTCGTTCATTTATTTTTATTTATTTTCATTATTGTGGCACTTTGGGTTGCGGTTACACATTTGTTTAGAGCAGCAAATGGACTGCCATTTTTTCAAACAAATGAGAAATGTTGGGAAATCCCAATCATATAGAATTACGGTAGTCCACCTTTAATCAATGTAAGATTTAAAAAATGCACGCTGTAGTTTTTCTTCATCACTTTGAGACAGGATGTCCTTAATTTTGGCAATATTGGTGAATGAAGATGGTCCTAAAAACACGTTTTATGTGCGAGTCAATGACAGATTCTTTTAAAAAGTAGCTCCAAGGTTCCTCACTTTTGATGTAGAGGCCAAATAAATGCCATTTAGAGAAGCCATATACCTTCTCTGGTCCAAAGATGTCTTTGGTTTTGCCTGAATTTAGAAGCGGAACATTCAGTCATCCATGTGTTTTTGTCTTTCAAACAAGCTATACGATTAAGATTCTGTGTCTTTTGGTTTTATAGATAGATTTTACTGAGTATCATCAACAGTACAATATTGTGACGTGAAGGAGTTAATCCCGTCCAAATTCCGTCACCAACACTCTGCACTGGTTTGCTTCCAGTTGAACATAGAATTGGTTGGGTCCGGATCCAGGCTCCTAAGCAGTTTGGTCTAAGCAGTTCAAGTCCAGCTGCTTCCACCCTCTGTCCGTCCACCAAACCCAGAAACTACCTCAACGCTGTCAACGCAGTTATTCCCGTCTGGACCGAAATAGTTTCACATTCCCCCGAAGTCAATTTACAACTGAGCCTAAATCTAAAAATCACCTGGCTCTGAGAAACTATCACAAACACTTTGTAAAAGGTCTAATGCTTCCTACCATATCTGAACCAGGGGTCTTCGGAAAACAGTATTGACACATTGTTTACCATAAAAATTGAAAGATGGGACGATGGAAAAGTACATTTTGCACTTTTTTACAAATACACCGTGAATTCTAATGTGTTTCCAGACAAGTGACTGCTACAATGACCAGAGTTGCCTGACATCAGGGTGACTTCATTTCAGGAGTGTTGAAAAAGATAGGATCCTCAACATAGCCATCTTTCACATATATGCCACAGTAAAGAGAGCAGAAATATTGTTAAATAGTGTTGTTTTTTCTATAGTTTGCCATTGTTCTAATGCACTTTCACACGTAGTACTTTTATGCAACTATGTAGATTTTTTCTGAAACATCTTGGTTTGGCAAGATTATTTTTTAATTAAGTGTCAATCATTGTTTAAGTCTGCAGGAGCCTGTGACCATGGCCGCAGTTTTGTATTACCCTGACTTATCCTGTAGAAACAATCTTGCACATTTTTAGAAGGACAGTAAAAAGACCTAATGAAAACAGTAGAGCTGTTATATTTTACATGGACGGTCTCTCCCACACCTTTCAGGCTCCTGGCTTAAAAAGAAGTGAAAATAAAATAAATGTGACCAAGTGTAAAATAGAGTGTAAATAGACTTAATTAGTAGTAAAATATTTGTATGTTCATTTGCAGAAATATAAAAGCATAATTATTCGTTGTTCTAAAATCTTAAATAAACATAATATGTGGCAAAACAGTTCATTGATGGGCTGAATTCAAAACAGGACAAGCATACACTTGGCTGACTTGTAGTGCAAATAGCAATAATCAATATGCAGCTTGGGAAACAAATAAAATCAATATGGCATGGCCAAACAAAGCCCAAATACAAACCAAATAAAAGATGCAAAGGTGCCCCAAGTCAATCCAATTTGACACAGTCCAAAAAGTCTATACAGGCCCAAACAACTAATGTACAGCCTAAACTTAAAAAAAACAGTGGATGGCGGCTCAGCAGCATCCAAATCATCACTAAAAGATACAGACATTCCACATTCAGTATGACGATCATCCGATGATTAAAATTACTATCTTAAGTATTTAAAAGTTACCTTTATTAACATCCAACTAAAGAACTCTCCTAGTTCTAGAGGCCAGCAGGTGATAGGACCTTTCATCAAGTCGGACTGATGGCTGGTACTATTGCTTGGACCTAAAACGATGTGGTCATTATTGGCTGCACTGCTTTTGTGACAAACATATTGTATCCATTTACCTTCTTATCTGTACACCAAACCCATATTTGAGTTAAAAGCTCGAGTGTAATGGCTGCCAGTTGCCCTCTGCACCCATGTGGAGTGAAAGGCCCAGATTTGCCTCCCTCTGGCTTTTAAAACCTAAGCTCCGCCCCCCAACTTCCTACTTCCTGGTTCATCCTATCACATAGACATTGTACTGTATATCTTCTCTTGATTGATAAAAATCGCTGAGGTTCATTTTTCTTCTTTTTTCCATCTAATCTACAGACATATTCTCGTCGGACGTGTGTGGCCCGGATAAAGAGCTGGATCTGGAAAGCTGCCAGTGCACGTGTCGCGGCCGGGGCCAAAATCACGACTGCGGCCCCAACCGGCACCTGGACCGGAACACCTGCCAGTGCGTGTGCAGCGCGCTGCCCGCTCCGTCCTGCCCCCCGAACCACGTCTTCAACAAGGACACGTGTCGGTGCGCGTGCTCCAGGACCTGCCCGAGGCACCAGCCCCTCAATAAGTCGAAATGCTCCTGCGAATGCAACGAATCGCCAAATAAGTGTTTCCTAAAAGGAAAAAGGTTTCACCAAGCCACATGCAGGTAAGCAGTGATGCAAGGCTTAACCCTTTAAAGCCTGATCCAAGAAAAAATAGGAAGAATATTGGATTTTTTTTTTGTCTGAAGTCTTTCTTTGACCCCTCAACAACATATGAAGAAAACAAATGCTTGGCACAGACCTTTGTCAATTCTATGGCAATTTTTTGTTCGATTGATATGTCTTAAAACTATTGAGTCAATAAACTAGTGAATCAGCTTTGATCCAAGAAAAATAGGAAAAATATTGGATTTTTTTTTAGTCTGAGGTCTTTCTTTGGCCCCTCAACAACATATGAAGAAAAAAAACAGAAATTATTTTGACCAAATTAGCGTGAAATAAGTCAAATATATATTTTGGTGTAGTCTTCTACTGGCTGTTATCAGGTATATCTAAATGTGTACAACAAGCTTTTACCACTGAATGATGCAAAAAGTCTCAGACCCAAAAGACTTCAGAAACCGTATAATACCAAATATGATACATTTGGCATTATAGGGTTAAGGTATCATTTGGAATTTTGCTGCACTAGTAAAGAAAAAGAGCATGTGACTGTCTTAAAAAGAGCTGTAGTATGACGTTTGTTTGTTTGTGTACATCATTTCCTAGTCCCCACATCCCTGCCCTAGTCTGGCCATTAATTTATCTATCTATACATCGATCATACTTTCGTAAATCGATCATTCTCCAGGCCAAACCTTTGCAAGCCCTTCCTGCCCAACCATCCACTTGTCCATCCACCAGTTTTGGTGGACTTCCCACCATCACAGCCCTATTGAAATATGCAAAGCAACGCCAGCTGTTCTTGTTCTGATCTGTCATAATTTACGACCATTTTGTTTAATAAATGATCTTACTGCCAACAAATAGCTCACGATAATCTGATTACCGGGAGACATTCCACCGCTAAGCTCTCAGTGATTACGTCATCCTGAAGTAGTGAACAGAAACACACATGCATTTCCACCCTTAGGTTGGTGGTTATTTAAAGGAAAGCAAAGCTGGTCTGGCAGTAGGCGCACACTGCGGTGAACCTGGTGTGTAATGGTAAACCTCCATGTGCTAATGACTTCTCATAGCTGTCACTTAACCATTTCCTCTCTCCACAAAGGAGGAAACACACACCTATACACATACCCATTCATCCCGCCCAGTCTCAACCTCTCATGACCTCGTTCGAGGGTGATTTATGAGTAGAACGTCGCAACGTTTGGGGATCTGGCAATCATGTGTATGCAAACTATAGGCCTGTGTGTTTTAGACAGGCCATTTTCTCATATAGACTCCTCTTTGTACTTTAGTTTTTGGGTTCATAGGTCTATTTAAGTAACCAGAACTAAATATTCTGTTATCTACCATGTGACACCCTGTGCAACCAAAAAGTCCCAGAGCCTCTGTTTGTCATAGTGTTGACGATTTTTAGATCTGATTTCACATTATTATTTCACTCTTTCAAGGAAAAACTCTAAAATTTAAACATGTCAAGTTGACTTGACGTGTTATTGTAAAATTGGAGTGCAAAATGACTATTTCTGGATTGTTAATTTTATTCTTTTTCATTTTTGTTACTGTTGTTAGGCATTAAAAGCTACAGTTTCAGTTTCTTGCTGTGATTAAAGGGCTGGTGGAGAGGCATAGGGTTTAAGATAGATAGTATTTCTTTAAGCATTTGTGTTGCTATGAAACAAATCCTGGTGGTAATCTTTAACTCTTGGAACCCAAAAGAAAAAGCTTGAAATATGTGTCCTTTTAAGGCTGAAGTGTTGTGTGCTAGGGTTAGGGTTAACCTTAACCCTAATACCTGTGGAAGTCATTTAATCTTTTTTTGTTAGCTTTTTCAATATAGCCTAAAGCAATCGAATATTGCTTGATTAGCAACTTGATTACTTGATTATTCACAAATTGATTGAAATATCCGTGAACTCCATGTATTTGAAAAGTGCATAATTGCAGGTCCATTTACTGCACAAATTAATTTTTTTTGCAACAGAAAGTAGGATTGGAACAAAAATCTACAAGAAATTCAAAACATGCTACAATTTTTACAGTAGATAGTTTTGACTCTTGCATTAATATTGCATATAAGGCAGTCAAAAACTGAAGAGGAAATTTAACATTGCCACATCTACCCTCACTTTTTCTGCTCAGGATATACACTTTTTTTTCTCAATGATGTTTCCATAGTGCGGGGTGTTTAAGAACCTAAGGAATTCTAAAGCCAACCCCATCCCCAACATTTGAATCATACTTTATGAATATGCATCTATTACGCACTAGTATCTGACTAGAAACTAGCCTGCTAACTGTTCAACCTTCAACTTGGCTCACATCAGTAGACCAGTGAGCATCATTCAGGGCTTACTTTGGTTAAGCCCTAACTTTATTTTAAACATGAACTAAATAAAAGAGACAATTGTGGATTTTAAGGAGAACCATAAATGAAAACAAACACTATTCATATCCTAGGAGAGCATGTGGAAGTGGTTTAAGTTTAGAAACATTTAAGAACTTACCTGAACAACACTAATATGTTGAATACATTTGATAGAATAAGCCGGGGAGAGTGTAGTATGCTTTGCAGGAATCTTAAATACAAAAAAACAGTACAAGAGGCCGTTTTTCTAAAAAAATAAGTTAAATATTTTCAAATTAAATGTCATTGGATCAGTTGTGTTGATTCAAATGAATTCTGCTTTCTCTGCTTCAAGCGTTTCATTTCAGGGTATTTCAAATCTAATGCTGATAAAATCCTGGATAGCTTTTCTAGTGTTTGGTCAGGTCAAGTCAAGTTATTTTTGTTTCTAAAAGAAAAAAAAAATCTAACGAAGCTTTATTTGATGGTCAATTCTAAAAACTAACAAAGACATTTTAAAGACAAAGATACTTTTTTCAAAAATATTCTAATTAGCTATTATTAGCATTGAAGCTAAATCTACTATTTTTATTCTTTTTTTTTCAGTTGCTTAAGGCCTCCCTGTGAGGTCAGAAGGCGAAGATGTGACCCGGGCTTCTTCTTCAGCGAAGAGGTGTGTCGCTGCGTTCCGTCCCACTGGAGACGACTGGACTAACTCGTATTATTAAAAAAAAAAAAGAAAAAAAAGGAAGCTTACGAACAGCCTTAACTTGTAAAAGTCATCCGACCCCTATAGACCTGCAGGTCAAGAGGATTCCCATCAGCTGTAACGGCAGCTAAGTGTGTGGACCCTGATGAGCGTGGGGAAAAAAACGTAGTGAAGTGAAGGCAAATGTGGAAAACTCTGGTATCTGAAGGTGAGAAATGCACTGGTTTCTGCTTCGAAGACATTTAAATGGGAGAGCGAAAATATTGGAGTTCGACATACAGGAAAGACTGAAAAAAAGAAAAGAATAAACACTCAACTTTTGTGATAAGATACTGTTTGAAAATATTTTTTGAAGGGGGGGGGGTAGGGTATGTTAATGATGTCTCAGTATTCATGTCAGATATTGATTATATAATTTATTAAATATTATTTTTCAGTCTGTTGTAATTTCAGTATTTTTTATGGAAATACACTGTGATTGATATTTTTGTATCACAAAGTTTATGTGTAAAATAAAGTATACTGGATGTTTATGTTGTTTGGTTTTAGTCCAGTGATCCAGTCCATTCCGGTGGGTCACTGTTAGATCCTACCTTTATGGTAAAAGTTGTTAATCAAGGATTTGCATGGATATCAATTAATCATTCACATTTTTTTCTCAAAGCTGATAAAATAGTCTTAAAAAGGTGAGGTTAAAGTTAAAAATAAGAAGGACTGACCTGATTTTAAAACACCTTTGAGAGAGAACAAAATTCATATTGATAGCGATTCTCAGAAGTATACAACTAACTTGTGTTTATAAAATACATGTTAAAACGTTCTCTGGTTGCTTCCACTTGTGAATGAACGTATATTAAAGAAAAACAAGTACTGCTTCTTAAAATATCCCATGGACCAGAGGTATACGATATCATGAGAGTGAAAAATTGAAAGAAATTTATTAAAAAGCACATTCAAAAGAGCTATTTTCTTAGTCTAATGCGTTCTACTGAGGAGTTCATAGGTGTTTATGCAAAAAAAAAAGGTTTTAAGGTAAGTAAAGTACAGGAGTCAAAGGCAAGAAGGTTCAAATGAATGAACCCTTCTTAAAGGGGGAACGGTGAACAGATACTGATTTGCCTAGATTTGTTCTCTAAAACAGACAAAGGATGTGTGGTTTCTGAGACGAAGTGAAAAACATGACAAATACCTTCATTTGACAAGTCAGGCCTGTACTAAACTGCAGTAGAAACGGAAACAATTGTAGAGACTAAAGCAAAACTTTTAACCCTGAAAAAATTTATGAGCCATCAATGTAGAGCAAAATACAGGAAATCCTACCAACTACCTACCAAAGGAAAAAAAAAAAAAAGGAGAAATAAAAGGAAAAAAAGGGAAAAAAGAGAAAAAAAAGGAAATCCTACCAACTATTTGTGTTAAAAATGTGCTAAGTTGTCCAATTTTTTTGTTTATTTTTTATGTTTTTCAGTTTTTCCTCTAGTTTTCGTTTGTTTTGCGATCTGTGATGTACTTTATGCTTTTAAGTTTCAAGTGTTTTCATTCACCTGTGCTCATTATCCTCATCTGCCTCCATTTTGTAACCACCTTCCTTTGTATTTAGGCTTTCCGGTATCTTCCATTCTCTTTCAGATCCTCCCTTTAGGTGTCATCAGTTTACGCCGAGCTTCCACGTCGATGTCTCTTATCTTTTATCTTTGATCGTTGGTTTCAGTCGCTCTTCTTGTTTAGTATTTTTCTACTTTACTTTTTGGTGATCTGTCTGGACCCTGCTTTTTATCGCCTTTGTAAATAATGATTTTCTAACAAATGTATCTGCACTTGTCCTCTTTCATGAGCTCCCTGGGACACGTGTGTGAGCAACACTATTATTTCAAAACAGAAAATTGGTCTGTCAACAGTTTGTGTACAAAAGGAAGAATTGGTAATGAGAATGAATTTGAATGTGTAACTAAAATTCTCCATAGACTAATAAAAACATTAACAGATTTTCAATTAAATTTAATATTGTTATTATCATCAAATTGATATCCAACCATCCAAATTGGAATTTCAAGGGCCTTAAGAGAAACAGTCTAATTAAAGTTAATTGGAAATTATAATTAATCAATTGCAAGCCAATTTTTTTTTGTTCTTCCTTGAAAAAAAAAGGGCAGGTTGCTTTAATAGTTGAAAATCATTCTGATTAAGGAGTACTGGTGTCACACTTTCAGGTTTGTTGGTTCCTGAATAAGCAAGGCAAGAGCTGCCTTCACCTTTTGTACAAAGATCAGGTAGTTTACAGTGTGTATGTGTGTGTGTTTTTGTGTGTGTGTGTGTGTGTGTGTGTGTGTGTGGGAGTGTGTGTGTATGTACTCTGCCAGGGTTGCTGCTTCACAGATCCTTTTTGTGGTTTTATATGTTCACCAACTGTACCCCACAGACATGAAGTTAATGTTGATTGCCTCTCTCTTTTTTTAACCTTAGCTTGTATAATTATGTAATTTTTCAGGATTTTTATTCTCATATACCTTGAGCCACAACACATTAACTTTCATAACATTTTCCTAAACTTTGGCAGTCTTAAATAAAAATAGCTGGTCTGAGCTTAGTATCAAAAACCTATATAGATCAATTTAATTTCTTACCCACCCAGGTCATAGTGTGTGTATGTTTTAAGAGGGTCATTCATACTTAGGTATATTTTGGAAAATTTCCAGATTATCGGAGGAGAAACTAATGTCAATAGTACATTTTGCTTTGCTTTATTAAGATATTTCTAATGATACACTAAAGCATTTAAACTGTGCAGGACAAGTGAAGCAGTAAAAGAGAAATAAATCAGATATTGAATTATTTTAATCTGTTATGTAAAAGTTATACTGAAATGAGGAAGATAAAGGTTCTACAGTCTCAGTGAGTATGACGTATATGATGTATATGACATTAAACCCTTCCTCTACCATCAAAACAAACAAAAAAGAGTTTGTGATCATCATAGTGAAGCACTTATTTGCTATAGGAGTTTGATAGTGTCGAATATAGGGTCTAAAATCTATATGTGATTTAAAAAAAAGTCTTAAATAAAGGAGGTGCAGCAGTTTCTTTGCAGTAGGATATGAGAAATAATGCAGCCGTAATTAAACCATGGAGAAGAAGTTAATTCTTTATACTGCTAAGGCCTTTCTGCCCTTATTAGACGATAAGAAACATGAGAGCCAAAATATCTTTGAACCCACCACATTTTCTCAAATGATTGTTAGGAAACATAATGCATCTAAATTAAAACCTAATACAGAGTTAAAGTTCATTTACTTGCAGGTTTTGGATACCACTGAACATTCTATCGCCAGAAATAAATGTACCCAATAATCTCGTTAGAAACGGCTTGTTTCACTTTTGCCTTTTTGACATATCGAGTTCCTCCGTTCATTTATTTGTTGTATACTTTTGTTACAGTCTCCAGGAAATAAAGGCGGAGCACTTGCTGAGCCTCCAGAAACACACCCGCCGCACACACACACACGCACACACATACGCACACACAAATGTAAACACGGCTCACATCTCGCTATAATAAGGAAGGAAACTAAAGGAGGTACCCAGATGAGAGGATAAGATGTTGGCACTCACGGAGCGTCATTGTGTGCGTGTGAGTGCGTGCCTACACTAGCTCGGCTCTCTTTATGAGGACCTCTTTATGTGTTTGTGCGCATTCATCCCCAGTAAGTGTTTGGGAGTCAAATGTGGAGAGCCAGAGAGGTGAGGATGAAGCTTAGTGGCACAGAGAGCAGTTCACACCATATATTACAGTAAAGTCCAGTGTTAACAACCCACCTCCCTTCCTGCCATTCAAACCCTTCTTGACTTATGACCTCTGTGTGTGTGTGTATGTGTGTGTGTATGTGTGCCTCAATGAGAGGGAAAATGTGACTGAAAACGATGGAGAAAAAGTGCACCAGTGTTGTATGTATTTAACCCTTTAAAGCCTGATCCGAGAAAAATAGGAAGAATATTGGATTTTTTTTAGTCTGAAGTCTTTCTTTGGCCCCTCAACAACATATGAAGAAAAAATAAAAATAAAAAATTTTGATCAAATTATCGTGCAATAGGTCAAAAATATATTTTGGTGTAGTCTTCTACTGGCTGTTATCGGGTATATCTGAATGTGTACAACAGGGGTTTGAGCAAACTTTTTACCATTAAGTGATGCAAAAAGTCTCAGATCTAAAAGACTTCAGAAACCGTATGATTCAAATATTATACATTTGGTATTATAGGGTTAAAGTGCATGTATGAAACTCCATAAATCTTTTAAACTATTACTAAACGGAGAAATAAACTGTATGTGATGACATTCATTATGAATCTTTGGTTCCAAAAATGTATGTCATTTATTTTGTTATATCAGTTATTGAAAATGTTCCAAACGTGAAATCGATATATTCCAAACGTTACATTGATTCGGGATGGCTAACAGCTTTTCCTTAGGGTATATCCTGTTTTAAATAGATTTTCATCCTGTCTTATTTTAACAAAAGTAATGTTGACTTGCCTTTTCTTTGCATTTTGAATTTAACGGACCATTTTGCTCAAATGTCTTCTTTAAGAATTGTCTCTCTTTGCCTTTGCAGATGTACCTTTTCTTTTTTTTTGCAGCATCTTTGTCCAAATACTGATTTCTTTAGAATTACAAGAAGAAAAAAAGAAAAGATTTTGCATAAAGCTTTCACGTTGGGCCGGATTACACACCTGGACACGTTCAACACATCAGGTTTTGATCAGCTCGTGTCAGTGCATCTCCTCTAGGTCAGAAATATTCAAACCATTTACTAACTGTGAGTAATTGTGAATGAATGCAGCACAAATGAGAAACACCTGTTCCGGCGCTCAATCGAAACGCTCATAAATATGCAACAAGTTGTGCGGGCTGCTGACATTACGGACTCTTAAGGGCACATGGTAAGGGCGAGTCAAGAAAAGTTTTTATTTTTCACGTTAAACTTGTTCGTTGAGCAGCAGTCCCTTTG